CTTGTGAGTTCGAGACCCGCTTTGCACTTTGTGCTGACTGGCCTGGAGCCTGCTTGGGATTCTGTGTCTGCTTGGGATTCTGTGTCTCCCTCTCTCTCTGTCCCTACCCCACTCATGCACTCACGTGCGCTCTCTCTCAAAAATAAACATTAAAAATTTTTTAAAAATATATTTAAAAAAAGAGAGTTGGAAATGTTCATAGCTAGTCTATAAGAGTAGGAAAGATAATTAACATATCTAAGTCATCATTTATCATTTCCCAAAGAGAAAAAATATATGACAGTGCTTAATAACTCAAGTTCTAATGTCAGACCAATTCAACTGTTCATTCAGCTAGTATTTGTTGAGCATCTACTGTGTGCCAGGCTCTGGTGTTGAATATATGAGTGAACAAGACAAAGAAGACCCCTCTGCTCTCACACAATTTATGGGAGGGTAATGGAGATAAAAATTAATTATTCAAAAATTAATTAATTATTAATTATCTGATAACCAAATAGAGTATTGTGAGAAATTTCTGGAGAGGAGGGCCAGGGTTCCTGTAGACCTGATGGCCAGGGTATGGGTCTCAGAGGAGGGGAAACATGAGGCGATGCTTGAATGATAAGAATGGGCTAGCCAGAGGAAGTTCTGGGGCAGAGGAAGAGCAAAATTCGTAATCTGGAAACAAGCTTAGCCAGTGCAGGGAATGGAAAGATCAGTAGGCTAAACCGTGGCACAATGTTGTAGAGGAGGATTGGGTAAGACCATCAGGTAGGGCTTTTAAGCCACCAGGAGACACGGGCTTTCTATTCTAAGCCATTAGAACAGCCTTAAGCATGAGTGGCATGCTCTACTTTATACTTTAAAAGACCACTTTGGCTAATATACTGCTCACCACGTATCAAGTGTATGTCCTTGGATAAGCTACATTATCTTTCTTAGCTTCTGTCTCCTCATTTGTAAAGTTAAGATAATAACAGTATGTATTACATGTGTTAACATGAGGATGAAATGAGGTAATGAATGAAAAGCATTTTGCACACTGCCTAGCACAAAATAACTGTTCACTACATGTTTTCAACTAAATCACTTTTACATCATTAAGATCACACTGAAGCGAGCTTGACTCATCATCCCCAATTATTAGCATAATAGCCAAAAATATCCTTTAAAATTAGTCCCGATTCAAATTCTCTAATATTGAGAGGCTGGATTTGTCCATATTGAATCAACATGGCACTTTTCTCCTATCTGATCCATTAATACAGCCCTGAGCTATTTTTGTGTATGCGCACACTCCTTCCTCTCACACACACTAGATTATTCATCTCTGTGTTAGCCCCATAGCTCATAATACTCAATACATCATATATAAGGTAGGCAAACACATAGGTAGGTAGGTGGATGGATGGGCTAACAGATACACAGAGGACAAAAATCAAGGGGGCAAGAGAAAGAAAAAGAGTATTCAGTTTCAAACTGAAATACTTAAAAGAGTAAAGTTTCTATATTATGAGTATGCAAAATATATAACTTATCACTTCTTGCCAAGTTTCTTATTCTCTTCATGTATTTGCATATACTGGACCCCATGCTGAAACCGCATGAGAAGACACTGCACTGTCATAAGGACTTACTGCCTTCCAATCTTGATTCATCTCTACTGAAAATAGTTAGCAATACTCTGAAAAACAGGAAAGAAGTACCTCTCATAATAATCAATGTACTGAAGAGTTATGAGTAATAGAACCAAAGTTGTGAAATCAGCCATGTTTCCCATTTACTCAGGTCTCTTTGTGAGTGTGATATGCGACATCAAGAAAGTTTATATGTAGGGGCGCCTAGGTGGCTCAGTCGGCTGGGCAGCTGACTTCGGCTCAGGTCATGATCTCAAAGCTTGTGGGTTCGAGCCCCACGTCAGGCTCTGTGCTGACAGCTTGGAGCCTGGAGCCTGCTTCAGATTCTATGTCTCCCTCTCTGTCTCTATCTCTATCTCTTTCTGTCTCTCAATCTCTATTTCTCAAAAAATGAATAAACACTAAAAATTTTTTTAAAAACATTTATATGTAGAATTCGAATTTCTAGGCTTTAAAACAAAGATCTACAATAGTTGTGGAATCATTTATTCAGTGATTTTGCATCTAAATATGTGAATGATTTCTACATACCAGAGAGCATGTAACGGATGAAAAGTGACCTTATATCCAAATACACAGAACCACAGAAATTTGAGAAGTTACTGATTTAATAAAATAATATTAGTAAAAGAACAACTAGGAAATAATATCCTTTAATGGAGACTGTTCTGTGATATACAAAGTACTTTTCTATGCACTGTCTTATTCTGATCTTCACAACTCTCTTAAGAAAATAGCAAATAATGAATAATAAAGATTACAAAAGGAGAAAGAAAACATGGCCAATTGTAACCTGCAGTTCATAGACATAAAAACCGACACACTGAGCAGATGATTTGCCCCAAGTAAATCAGTAAGTGGGACAGCTGTAATTCTAACGTAGGCCCTCTTGGCATACTTTCTGCCATTCCACACTAATTCAACATGCCACAAATAGCGCGAGTCATTAAAACTGAATGTATCCCTATTTAAAAAAAGAGGAGAAAACTGTATATAATTTGCAAGTAGCATTATTAAAATTTCTCCTAGAATATTTAAATCCACCCAAGCAGGACAATTGTCCCTTTAAATAAGCATAATTACTCGCTAACCACTAAAATACTACATATTCCCTAGATCCAAATAATAATAATAGTTATAAATAATAACAACAAAGCTTTCAACTCGTGAATACAAACAGACCAGACTCTGTCCTGCATTCTCTACATTCACTGAGTTTAGTTTTCACAACTACCCTATGAGGCAGATACTGTTATCACAATCATCACTGTCATCTTTACACAAATAAATGGACAAAACTGAGGCATAAAGAGATTAAGTATCTTGTCTGTGACCATTTGGCTAGTAAATTGGTTCAGTGACTGTTAATTGCAAAATGCTCATGTTTATGCTGCCTCTTGAAATAGAAGCCTCTTGATCCCATTCCTCTCCTCAATTAGATTCAACCAGTGATAAAGGAAAAATCTCCAACTTAAACATTTTAAACCATTCCCATGCATGTCTAAGCAATACCAATTTTGTTGACCAATGACTGCACTGCACCTATAAAGTGCCTAACAGAGAACCTGGCACAACATATGCAGGTGACAATTCCTGAGAGTCTAGTGTGTGTCTGGCATTATGCTAAGCACTCTTCCCTGCACATGCACCCCATAGATGTTAACCCTGTTCTTTCTTTCTGCTAATGAATAGACTCGATTAGAGTTATCTGGATCCAAAGCTGTTTCTTTGAAAATGAAGCTGGGCAATGAACAAAATTTCTTCTCATGGAGGCAAAGAGTGTTATACACCCGGTATAGAAAGCTACTGTATGTGGGTTATAAGGGACTCTATTGCTCTGGCTCTTGATGTCACACAGATACATACAAGAAAATACAGAAGGAAAGTATCAGTGAGAAGACTGAAGGCATAAACTGGACACCTCACCTACAGAGGTTATTTCCTCTCCAGAAAAAGTAAAACTTAAACACAAATAAAGTAGAATTTATATATGGATATACACGTATATACGTATATAATATATATATACATATGTATACATATATGTGTATACACACACATAAACACACATATGGGCACCTAAGTGGCTCAGTTGGTTGAGTATCTGACTCTTGGTTTTGGCTCAGGTCATGATCTCATGATTCATGGGCTCAAGCTCCACATCAGGCTTTTCGGTGACAGCGTGGAGCCTGCTTAGGATTCTCTCTCTCCCTCTCTCCCCCTCCCATGTTCATGTTCTCTCCTTCAAATAAATAAATTTTCTAAAAAGAAGTTTATATATATATATATATATATATATGTATATATATATAAACATAATTTTCCAAATTAATTCTGTGAAATATAAATAGGTTCTCTCCTTGAGTCCCTTTAAATATTATGTTTCCTTAACTAAAATTTAAATAAAAAATTGAAACAAATAAATATTATGCTTCCTTGACATTTTTATTATTTTTTTTTTTATTTATTTCTAGGAGAGAGAGAAAGAGAGACAGCGTGAGCAGGGGAGGGTCAGAGAGAGAGGGAGTCACAGACTCTGAAACAGGCTCCAGGCTCTGAGCTGGCAGTCAGCACAGAGCCCGACGCGGGGCTCGAACCCACGAACCGCAAGATCATGACCTAAGCGAAAGTCGGATGCTTAACCGACTAAGCCACCCAGGCGCCCCTTCCTTGACATTTTTAAAGAAAATACTAATTTATAGAAAAAGCTGTATTCAAGTATAACTTTTCAGAAATCCACATATTAAGCAAAACACAGCTTTCACAATATATATTCTGTCATTTACGTGTATAATCTTTGTATTTGTGTTTATAAATCTTTATATATATTTAAACATACAATATATATTTTATTCGTATATGTTTATGGGTTTATATATAATATTATATATATATATATTATAAATAAAAACAGAAAGCAAGTTCCTTTTCAAGGATAAATATATTCAGCATCGGTGGACCTCCGAGTAAGACTAAAGATCGGGGATGTCTGCAGAATCTAGTAATCATACAAAGAAATCTATATCTCTCGCCTCCCTAATGTTCTGCAAATTCCTAGTCGATTAATATATTATATTTAAACAAGAAAGATGTAGAACTACTTATAGTAACAGATAGGTGGAAAGTAGTGAACACACCACTAAGGCAGAGATCTGGGTTTCATTGTACATTCCATGGACAATATGAATGATATTGATTCTCAGATTATCTGCTCTTTTATATTACTCATACCTCCTTTCCCCTCTATTAGTGAAGAGAGCTGAATTGTCTGTGCATTTGCTTGATTCCACTGGGAGGCCCAAATCACCGCTTGGAAATATCAATCATTCCTTCCAGATTAGTCTCTACTAAAAGCCTACAGTGAAATGATAATGCACTAACCTGTCTCCAGTTAATGGCAAAATAATGGTTGCTTGAGAAGAAAACACAATGAAAGATAATCTCATTTGAGGGCTGCAAAATAAGAAAAGAGGCAGTTAAAGCATATTTAAAAGAAATATTGATACAATACAGATATATAGTTATGGAGTCTCAGTCAAAATGGGGCTCTGATGGTCCAGGCTTCTTTTAAATAGAACTGCCTAAATAGATACACTAACTCTGCTTAACATTACTGCATAAGCCATTTTGGATTTAGTCAGTGTTTCTCAGCACTCAAGCAATTCTCTATGACCCATAGGGCCATTTAAGGAAGAGGCTAACTAGACAGATAAATTCTCGGCCAGAAATCCTTTTGCAGAAAACACTTCTTCCCTCGGTCCTACCTCATCTCCTTAAAGGATGCCAGAACCTTCTGAGCAATTGTCTTTAACGATATTTAGGGCTAGAGAGCAACCAGTTTGATTTAATTACCACAATCATGATAGGAGTTCAAACAAAAGCTATCTGGAAGTAAGAATCCTTAAAGAGTGCCATGGACAATGTGAAAGAGACTAACCAATCAGTTTGATTAGACATTGCAATTGTCCAAGTCTCAAACATCATACTTCTAACTGGCAACACCTCCCCCAGTTAGCGACATCTTTTAAGCTTGGGCATTTATCTCACAGAATGGTTCTTGACTGCATGGCACTCTGTGCAACTACTACTAAGACCTGAAACCGCAGACAGGAAAGGAAGATCTGTAAACTGAAGATCAGAGTGATCTCAAAGCCTTATCCACCGTTGAAGTCATTCTCTTCCGTAGTCACCCTTTATTCACTCCCTACAATGTATTATGAGTCAGTAACTAAGCAACTAAATTTGAGCCAGAAAACTGTGTATTACAGAATTCCAACTTGCAATCCAGACCAAATAAATAAAGGCCTCACTCCTTGAAAACATTGTATTGAAAGGATCCATTGCCTTTGATCAAAATCTGTGTGATACTTTCTGCACCCTCTCAGATTAAATCACAAAATTTATAAACAACTGTCTCTGACGCCTTTAACATTTAAAGATATAGGGCCTTATTTATTTTTCTTTCCTAGACAGTTTTACTTCAGACCCTGTCCAGAAATGAGAGTGTTATACTTGGCTTCTTAAGCAGGAGACTGATGATTGAACATGGACAAGCATACATTTTTATAGGGATAAGTTTACTGCTGCCAATAACCGAAAGCAAGGATTGCCTAGGCCTCTACAGATTGTTTGAAGTTACTTGCAACATGACTTTCAAAATGTTTTGATCATCCAAGCCTGTTTTACAGAAAACATTTGGGCTAACAAGACTGAAAGAAGCAATATTTAATGATACACTCCTTTTTGTGTCCTTTCCATTATCTTGATAAACTTGCATTTGCTCGTTGCATTTTTTTCTTTAAAAAAAGAAGGAAAAAGAAGGCTCAAAAGCCTGGTATCCTGGGGTTATTTTTAAACAGAGATGCCACTAATTCCTGGTTACCTCTAAATAAGAGAGTAAGCTGGATTTCATAGCAGTTATGCTTTTTATAGGAGACAAAACCAGTCTTCCTAGTAAGGCTTATTGCATATATAGAACAGTTAAATTTTAAACCAGCCACACACCCACACATTGGGTAAACACAACTCGTTTCTTTAAACACACACAAGTGCCTTTTCTGGTAGTGGGTTATTAACACATGTTCATTTGAAATTTACCAACACTTTTTTTTTTTAATGAGGACCTCTACAATGCTAAGAACTGTGTGGAAAGAAAAATATATTATGGATACTATTAGCATAAAATTTGTTTAATGTGATAAATTATGAGAAAGCATAACTGAAATTCAAAACAGATGAAAATTCAGAAGGGAAAAGACATTTGTAATAGTATTTGAAGATGCTTCCCCAGGACCTGAGCCAAATTTCTGGGATCCAGATGAAATAAGCCCTGAGCAACTGAAGGGCTGTCCTAATAACTACATATATGTAATAATGATCTTGAGGCACTTAAAAATCAACATCTCAATAAAGGCTCTCCCTGAAAAAGGTTTCAAAAAAGGGATGACTTACACTTCAGTCTACTTCCCTCCACCTCAAACTCCCCTGCGGAGAAAAGTTAAGTGGGAAAAATACCTCACAAATCTCTCTGTAAGTTGCTGGACAAAATTGTAAATTTCAATCCAGTTGTTTGCCACACTCCCAGACCTGTAAAATGAAATTGAGCTGATTAGGAAAAAAAAAAGAACAAAATATTTATATGGGGGGTAACCTGACCTCTTCTTCAAACAAAGTAGGGGTGTCGGTAGCTGAAACTTAGGTGCTAGAAGAATCAAGGAAGCAAGTCATCTTCTGGGACCACCCGCCCAATTGTTTGGAGTAGGATTCCGGCTCTTCACAATAAACACAACCTCACAGGAAAGGAAAAACACCCTGCGTGTGTGGACCCTAGGCTTTTCCTGGCCACAAAGAAAGCGCTGTGATCAAGATAAGACCAGGCAAACTTTAGCCAGTGAGGGTTGAGGACAGAGGGGGCCTAAGAACAGGCCCGTATGGGTTCCAGTGACTGCAGACCGCTACCCCAAACAGACACGCTCCTCCGATCACCTCCCCCACCTCCCCCAATACACACACACACCCAGGACTGGGAAGCAGTGACTGCCCCACTTCCCAAGAGAGCCCAGCAGCTCCAGGCTCCTCTGATCACCCCCCCCCCACATCCCCCAATACACACACACACACACACACACACACACACACACACACTGGGCACAGATAAGAAAGCGCTTGCCCTTCGCACGGGAATAACACAAAGTACCCGTCCTCGGGGTTCTAATACCCCTCCCCAGGGCGCACACACATCTCTGTCTCCCCAGCCACAGCTCCTCCAGCGCCACCGACAGAAGACCCAGGACCTCCCTCCGGCACTCACTTGTCCAGAACGAAGTAGAGATCAAAGGCTCCTCTGCAGGAGGGCTGCTCCTGGGCGCTCACCAGCCCCCCAGGACAGCTAAGCACCAGCAGCCACAGCCCAGGGACTAGCCAGCTCCCGGGACTGCGGGCCAGAGACAGCCCCGCCACCATCCTGCGGCTAGGGGCCTGCGACCTTCTCCTGCTCGCAGCCCCCTCGCCTCGACTCGGCGGGGACGCTAAGGTGGCAGGGGTTAGCAGGGACGCACCCCGGGTGGGGGCCAGCGGGCGGCTGGGGCGCCGGCGCCTGGGGCAGCAGGACCCACTAACGGACGGACTGAGGGAGGGAGAGAGGAAGGGAGGGAGGTCCTAGGAGGACAAAGGAGACACTACAAACGCCGCAGCTGCCGCCGGAACTCTTGACGAATCCCAGTGGAAGAGCGATCCAGTCCTCCCCCTCCGGATTCCGGAGAGTGCCCGCAGACAATGAGGGCCCGCGGCTACAGCGCTCACAAGTTCCCTCCGGCTTCTGGCCGAGCCTCTAGCAGCCGCCGCGGGACCCGACCGGGAGCCCCATTCCGCCCGGAGCGCTCGAGTCCCGCTGCTGCAGGGTGGGGAGGGACGGGCGCCCCCGGGACGCGGGGACGACCGCACAAACTCGGAGCGGAGATCCCGGTCCGCCGGTTCCCTTCCTCCCGCGGCCCGACTCTCCGCGGCGCTCCAAACTTTCTTCCTAGTGTTGTGCCCTGGCGCGGCGCGGCCGGGCGGTCCCCTTCAGGGGAGGAGGCGGAGCGGGCCCGGAGGCGAGTGGTTCCCGAGAAGCCGCTGCAACCAAGGCCAAGAGCACGATCTGGCCAGGTCTCTCCCAAGTGTGTCAGTGTGCGTCTGAGGGCGAGGGCGGGGCTTGATCTGAAGGCACACACGCACACTTGTGGGTTCGTGCCTGAGTTGAAGTTGACTAACGTTTGCCAGATTTTGAAAGGGGAAAAGGAGTTTACAAAAACAAGTGTCCCCTAAAAGCTAAACACGTCCGTATAGCCTGCAGGCCGGGCCTATTTCAGCAGCTGTGCGGAAAGCCGCTCTGGGTTTGCAAGACCAAAGCCTAGCAATTCCGAGGGAGGCGGTGGCCTCCCCGCTCCGCCCCACCCCCACTACCGCCCTCACAGCTGGACTAGCTGCCGGTCTACCTCTGCAAGGCAACTTCCTCTTTAGGAACCTGCTTTGTAGTTTCAACTCAACGAGCCCGAAACCTGCACGTGGGTGCGGGGTGGGGAGGGGAGACCGGGGGGGGGGAGGGGAGACAGGGGCGAGGGTGGGAGAGAAGCCTCTGCAGAACTCTTTAGGAGTGTAAAGTTGAACTTCAAAATATTCCATCCAACTGTCGTTATCCCAAGTTCCAGATAATTAAGAATTTCATCTCCTGGCAAGCTAGGCCGTCCTTACCAAACTTGTGCTGGAGCTGAAGATTCAAGTGCATTCACACCGTGCGCTTACTCATTCTGCACTTCCCCCAGTCTTCCCATCACCTCCACCTATGACTTCCCCCTTGTTGAAAATGGCTTTTAGAACTTGGAGTCTCAGTGCTATGATGAATGGGAAAATGAAGTGTCCCCTCCTCCTTTATATTTTATCTAAATAGATGCTTTATGATAAAAAGTTCATGTAGTACTTAATCACCTACTACCTTTTAACACCTCTTGGTTGTTGTCGTGTGTATTTAACTTTTCATTTACATTATCTTCAATGTACAACCAGATTTGTAAGCTCTTTAAGGATAGAAACCAGTCACTTTAAAAAGGTTCACTGAGTACCAACTATCTACTAAGCACTGTTCTAGGACTTACAGTGGATGCACAGAACAAGATGACCAGTCCTTGCTTTCCTGAAGCTTGCAGTCAGGTTGAGGAGGAAAAGCAGACAAAAATAAGTAAATGTCCATATTAGCCGGTAGTTTGCAGAGATTTCAAATATGGTAAAATGATAGAGAATGACTGACTAGGTGACCAACAAAAGGAAGCCAGCTATTCCAAAATCCAAAACAGAAATTCCTAGCTTTTGCAGGCCACCATAGGCATTAGCTTAGCACATGTGAGAGACAGACAGAAAGGCAGTATGGTTAGAGCTTTGCGAGTAAGATGAAGTACGAAAGACAGGCAGTGGGCAGATTATGTGGTGCTTTGTAAGTTGTGATAAACAATTCAGATATTTTATATTAAGTGTGATAGGCACCCATTAGAGGAGATTAACCTTTGGAGAGGGGTAGAGGATAAGTTATTATGATCTATGTTTTTCAAAGATCATTCTGGCTGATCCAGATTTGGCTGCCCCAATGTATTTGGAAGCAGCAACAGTGAAAGCAAGGAGACCAGTCAGGAAGCTATTGCAGTATCAGGGCACAGTAAAACGGTACCTGGGACCGTCACCGCTATAGCAGCTAAACTGAAGGATATGAACGGCCAGAAGTTTTAATAAACCCAAAGGGACACCTGGATGGCTCAGTAGGTTGAGTGACCGACTTTGGCTCAGCTCATGATCTCACAGTTTGGTGTGTGAGTTCAAGCCCTGCATCGAGTTCTCTGCTGTCAGCACAGAGCCTACTTTGGATCCTCTGCCCCCTCTCTCTCTTACCCTCCCCCTCTTGCTCTGTCTGTCTTTCTGTCTCTCTCAAAAATAAATCAGCATTAAAAAGAACAAAAAACGAAAAAAACAGACCTATAGTCTGGAAATATCTGCCTCCTGGAGATGGAAATTCCAATACCACCACTGGATCTATCACTTCTTAACTGAAGGGGTGGGGAGGTACTGATAGAAAAAGAGGTTGACTGAATGAATGGAAGATAATTTATCCTTCTTTAGAAATCAACACAAACCCTCTATTGTTTTCAAATAACTGAGCTCCAGAAGAAAGTCTAAGGAAGAGGATGACTATATTAAAAGAATCCTAATTCCTTCCTCCTTGGCTTCATCTTCTCTTGAAGTTCTGAATTTTTTTTAATATTTTTATTTATTTCTAGGAGAGAGAGAGAGAGAGTGTGTGTGTGAGCAGGGGAGGGTCAGAGAGAGAGGGAGATACAGACTCTGAAATAGGCTCCAGGCTCTGAGCTGGCAGTCAGCACAGAGCCCGACGCAGGGCTCGAACCCACTAACCGCGAGATCATGACCTAAGTGAAAGTCCGACAATCAACCAACTAAGCCACTCAGGCGCCCTGAAGTTCTGAAATTTTGATTCTTCTGTAGCCATCGGGTCTCCAGGGATTTGCTGCCACCTTGTTTCACATTTGGGTCCAACTGTAGATACACTAATCTCCTTGACGTCCCACAACAAAGCTGGAACAGACTGACCTTTTCAGGAAACTTGTACTAACAGCTTTTTAACGTCTCTTGTCAAGGTTTTTATTGTTCACTGTTGGTTAAAACTGGTTTCCATTTCCAACTTTTAATCAAGACAAAATCAAAGAAATGAAATACCTTTAGCAATTAATACCGTATCAGTATGTGACTGAATAAAACCTGGGAGAAAAATATGACAGAAAGTAATAAAAACTGGTTTAAAAGGGGACAGAAGGTGAGGAAATATGAGACACGATGCCAACTATGTCCTCTGTCCTCATGATTAAGTATTTTAAACCCATATTTATGGGCTTTCTTTTCCCCTAGCTTCTTGACTCCTTGCCTGTTCATCTTCTGGGACTCCACATACTGATCTAAGGGTCTATCTTGTCCAGGCCTACACTAAAGCAAAATATCTTGAACTTAAAACTTATTCTTCCTCAAAATTCCCTGACTCACGTCAGGTCTCCTTACTTAGTTCTTCTTTCAGAGCTGATGGACATACTAAAGCATATTACCATTCTTTAGGTTATTTGTTTGGGTAATTAACTGAGTCAAGTTCTAGAACTTTTTTTTTCATTATACTCATTTGCTCATGTAAGATCTACAATAAAGCAGGGAATTGGCCTCACCTAGCAGAGACCAACAATTAATCAAATCTCTTTCATCTAGTAAAACTTAGGAGGAGGTCATTAATTATGGAGGCAATCAACTGTCCAGATTTGCCCCAGACTGAGGGGTGTCCAAAGAGACAGGGATTTCACGCTAAAACTGGAGCAGTCCCTGGGGTGGTCCACGGCAAAGAAGGCTGTGGGTCACCCTGTTTCCAAGCAACAATGAGGGACAGTGTAAGCAAGGGAGGGTTTGGGAATTTCACCAGGCCATGAAGAAGGAGCGGTACTGACAGCAGCCCTCTCTGTCCCCATCTAACAGGTGAGAGGCCTCGGGCAGTATGTTAGCTGGACACTAGCCAGCTAAGGTTTCAAACTGACCTTTTCGCACCATGAGAGACATGCTGGGACCCTGTGTAACTTTCCAAATCAAGAATAGGCTACAGAATGCAGATGTCTAAGCAGAAAGAGAGAGGTTAGACTGAGTTATTTAAATAAACAAATCTAAAACAATTCTCTTGTATTCAAATTATCCGGATTTCTGCTGAAGTATTTTGTTTCACAATCCATGCAAGCATCCATTCCTTGAAAATTACTCTTTGTAGCAAACCAAACTTCTAATTCGGTGTTAGAATCTATTGCTGAATTTCATGAAATATGCTAATAAATCCAAAAACATTTTAAACTCAGTGTCATGCAGTTAGTATTGCTGGAGATTGACACTTGGTAATTAAAAGTGTTCAGTATCATTGTCTACCTCCTTGACCTGCGGAGCTCCTATGGAATTCATGTTAGATTTTATTTATTTGTTTGTTTGTTTATTATTAACTAATATTTATTGATTCCTACTATGTAACTATTAATGTTCTAAGCACAAATCTTATATTCCCTGCTCTCAGGAGTTCACCATTCTAATATGCTATCACCAAGTTTTTTCCATCTCTCCCAAGGCCCACAAACAATAGACAGAAGGGACAAATAAACAACAACAATAAACATAGGAAAATAAAACAAAATACATGTATCCTTTATGTGTGAGAAAAATCATGTAATCTATATTGTTTTCAGTAAATATCTTGCATGGCATCCACAATGACAAATATGACTCTCCTGGAAGTTAACTACCACACTGGAAGTGATTCATATCCACATTACATGTGGAGTGATTCATTATATGAAATCTACAGTGATTCAGAGGAAGAAAATAAATCTTCAGCATCTATAGGTGACAAAGCTTATTTAACTTTTATAGAATACAGTCATTACACGCAGATTTCCCCAGTATCAGAACTAGCTCCTGAGAGCGAAGGGAATGGCTTTGGAAGGTGTGATTACTCCTAAATTAACATCTCTATGTATGATAAAGGGGTCTGCACTTGGGATTAAGTGTGTTTTAAATCCAGTTTTCCAGAAACAGATCTG